TAAAATAGAAGGTCTGGAAGTGAAACTAAAATAAATGGTCCCCGCTACAGTGAGAAATCAATGACTAATCCCAACCAATCACAAAATATGGTCCGTTGTACTCAATTGGTCTCATGACACGTCAATCACGGTCGTCTGCTTGTCCCTCCCCCCGTGCGCTTACCCTGACACATGAACAAATCAACCGCCCCCACCCCCCACCCCGTATACTCGTGCTGGATGGCATGGCTGGAAGCTAGCCGCTGTTATGCTATGTTCACACCTAAAGCAGCAAGAGCAGCAACAACATGCGTGCTGCTTCATTTTTGATGCTTATACAAGTTTAGTACTTATGCGCAGCTGAAGCATCTTAGCTGCTCTTGCTGCGCGGTGGAAAAAGTGGGTCTGATGTGCGTTGGGCGGAGCTACCCTATCCTTTCTTTGCCTGTAACAATGGCAGCTATATTTTCTTGTGATCAGTGGTCAAAAGTAATTTCAATCTATTTTTCAGTGTGAAAGTCCACCCTAAAACATAGTCAGTGCAGTCAGTTCGTCCAGATTACAAACCTGCCTTCAAATATTATTTCTGTCGGAGCCGCTCAGACCCCCACATACCGGCGGTGGGCTGTCACTGGAAATCCCATTAAACAGCAGCCTCTGGCCCGGTCGAATCCTCGCGGTTTGGCCGCCGCCTGAAAGGTGTTTTTCATGTACGTAATCCAAACTGCAGGCACCAGGATAAAAAAAGCAAACATGTTTGGCGGCAGATTTCCCCAGATTTTTAAGTTAATTTAGGTGTTAATCAACTGTTTCAGAGGAATGATCATAGTGCTCTGCATCATCAGTACTGTCTGTCTCCCTGTCAGCTCTGAAATCAACGACACTCTGCTTCAGCTGCTCTATACACGCTGCAGACAGCATGTGTTTTGAAGGTGTGGTTTAGAGGGCTGGCCTGAAAGGAGAAGCATGGTTGTGTATGTTCAAAAATATAGCTCACTGGAACTGTTTTTCCAAGATCTCCTGCAGCACCTTTTAAATCGTCTTTAAAACATGACAGAGGGAAATTTTCCATCTTTGATTACCTGACTACGAGCTCTGTACAAATAGCAGTGAAAGACTGCTAAGATGTTTCACTTTGTTTTTCCATAATTAACATCCTGCTAAACAGGTTGGGACTTTTTACGTTTTTTTAATACGTTGCATATAAAGTTAAACTCGTTCCTCTTGGCAGACATCCAGCTAAGAATGATTTTCGGCTCAGTCACCTGATCTAAAGCAAACTACCTTTGGCTAAGTGTTTATGTCTAGAGAGGGAATCTAACTGAAGGACGGGGTGACTCAGTGCTTTTACAGAGTACAGCAGTTTTTTTTAAGAACAGGCCTGTTAACTCACAGTCTGCAGGGAGCAGAGGTGCAGCGTTTGCATGCTAGCTGAGGATTTGTTGGCTCTGAGTACAGGAACCGTTTTCTCCTCCTTTTTTCTAACCCCTACAGATCTCCGTACTGCTGGACGTCACACAGATGTATAGATCAATAGATAGATATACGCGGTATAGATACATTATGAATAAAAAGATATAAAATATCAAATATCAGTGCTTTATATTCATGTTAATGTGTATTTATGGACATTTAAATACACATGATGGAGGACTCTGTTCCTGTTCCACAGCTTTTAATTTATGGTTCTATCTTTGTTAGATTAACCTTAAATTGGTTTTCTGGCTTAATTAACACTAACAAACAAGATGGGGGAAAAAATAAAAAAAAAAGCACTAAACAAAAGTTAAACAGCTTCAAGAAGGAAATTAAATGATTAACATTTTGATTTTAGCTGGTAAATTTAGGTGAAAATTTGTAAACCATTTAGAAACCATTAAAGTCTGTATTTTTCTTTTTATTATCACTTTATGATTTTAAATTCAATCTTAGGTTATTATTAACCAGACAGGATGTCTCTACAGCAGAGCAATCGGACCCTGACCCCCAGCTGACCTCTGACCTCTTCGCCCTTAACTCGAAAATAGACATCATCCAAAACTCTTTTTAAAGGCCCTTATTGATCCAGTCGGGATCAGTTTACCTTTGTTTGTTTTTTGTTGTTTACCAAGAGGACTCTAAAATTAATTGTTAAAGAATCTCCTAAACAAGTATTGAGTTAGTTTTGCTTCATCAATGAAAACATTTTATAAATGGAAATTAAAAAAAATAATAAAATGCAATCCAGACATGAAACAGTGGAAAAACATTATAATAAAAGATTTTGAGAGTAATAGTGCTGTTTTCCATCAGATTGTGCTAGTTTTTGTTTTCAAAAATGTTGTTTTATTTTTCATAATTTTTTTTTCTTGCATATTTTCATATTCTGGGTTTTAGAAATTGCTTTCTTTTCAAATTGGGTTTCGTTGATCACTTTCTTCTCACTTCAATTCTAATAGGAATGTTTGAAAATATAAAATGTATAAAAAAAGATGTAAAAATGTATAAAAAAATGAATTAGAAAAAAATCAAGTTTCACAGTTGATCTCAAAAACCTTTGTTTTTATAATACATTTTTTCACGTTTCATTTCTGCGTTTATTCTGTTTTTTTTTTTTTTCTTTTTCCATTAGAAATTGTTCTTTTCTTGCTCCAATAATTGACTCCATAAACATCCAGCTAGTAGTTTTCCAATCATCTGGCTCTTAATTGAGCCTCTGAGTGATTAAAGAGAGGTAAAAAAGGCCAGCCGTGCAACATACGTCTAAAGAGTTTTTGTGGAGATGAAGAGCAATAAATGTAGGAAACGCTGTCAGATTCCCGGGTGTAAAAACACTCTGGGAGACGCAGAAAAACGGATTACAAACCCAATTAGTGAGTTAAATGGTGTGAAACAAAGTCTTCCCCGTAGGCCTGTGTGGCTGCTGCATGGGATTACATTCCCAAAGAGGGAAAGGAAACATGTTGCTGCTTAAGTGTGCTAAATTTCCATAGAAGATAACTGGAATATGGGGTTCATGGTTGGTTTCTCCTGACTAACATCTCTGAGAGTTTTCAGGAAGTGAATTTAACCAGAATGAGTGAGAAGCAAACCACCTGTACTTTAATTAACATGAAATTAAAACATAAAATTCTGTGTTGATAAAAGCGTCTGTGACCACATGAAGTAACAACCTGCTAGCAGGCCTCCCTCGCCTCCGACACGGTCCTGTAATCCCACAGCCGCGGTGCTGGGATCCAGTACAGCCCAGCTGGACACAATGGTTGCTCTGTTTTCTGCTCACCGCATTGTTCTTCCCTGCATTTGGAGGCACAATGAGGTCCTTATCCACACGGCCTGGAGAGACGCGCTGTCAGGTGCCTTTCTTCTCAGAGGGTTTGGCAGCTGAACTTTGAAGTGAATTTGTTCAGGAAAAAAAAACTCAAAATAAGAGTTAGCTGCGGAAAAACTGAGTGTAGATAATCATTAGATGTGGGGTGTGTTTAATGAATAAGACGGGCATGATTTTAAATATAGATCGGTTCGCTAACATGTCTGACTGATGTTCTGCTCCTTTCAGAAACAAGCTTCCAGTAATGGTGTGAGGGATCATCTAACATGGGTGCCGTTTCTGGACAGCAGTAACTTTTCAACCTTCATAAAATATTTTCAGAACTTTTGTGATTATACGCCTACTTACAACTAGTGGAATGGCACCTCTGTTATGGTCCTAGGGGGTCTGTATCACTTTCATTGGCACTAACTGTGAAGAGGCTGGCAGTAATCCCGTCACGCTAAACAAATGTGCGGACTGCTTTATCGCATATATCACTTCCCCCTGGTCTTGACCCTTGTCTTCGTTATAAAGAGAGAAGTGAATGCAGTTAAATTTCCCTGAGAGTCTCCATATTCACGCAAAGAGCGCAGAGTTGATATTTAGGCAATACGGCTCCTTCCTGCCGGGATCTGGGTTGTTTACTGTGAAATTATCAAACATATATTTAACATTATATTTATCTTTTTCAAGGCTCTAAACTCATTGGATGAGTGGAGGTTGGGAGTAAAACTTTCAAAGTTAAAGGTATAGTCGAGGATTTTCTTTTTCAGGATGGATCATCTAAATCAGTGGTCCTCCTAATTGTCAATCATTCTGGTGATGTATTTACTTAAGGCCGTCCTACATCCTCATCCCCATTTTCACTTACCGGTGGTGAGTCTGACAAAGTGAAAAATTGCAAATCTTCTTTTGCAAAGCTTGTATGAGCGATGTAAACAGCAACTTTTAAATGGAGCGTGCACAAGGAGAAATGGGCTTGTGCACGCTCTCGCACGTGTTAAATAGGCATTCCCTTTCAGGAGCAGGTACAGGGTTGTGCATGTGCATTTTTTTTTATAAAGTGGAGAGGGTGGGTCTTTTCAGAAATTCTCAAAAATCCTCCACAATTCCCCTAAATGTTTCTTATTCTCAGCATGGTCATATGACATTGTTTTTCCCACAGTAATATTCATTACCTCATCACTAGTCATCTTTCACACAGCAACTGAAAACAGAAATGTAGTTTAAGCCAAATGCAGGTGACTGAGAGATCAGGATTTTACCACACTATTGTCTTTCTCATGCTGGGAAATGGAGTCTTCCTATAGGCAAAAAAAAATAATTGGCCAAAATTGAAAGTTCTTTAGAACTGCTTTAAAGTACTATGAGTAGATGGTCAAACGATGGCTTCTGTTGCCAAATTCCAGTCCAAATAGACTGAATTATTGTTTTTTTGGTTTCACACATTCTAGTTTTAAAAATAAAGGCTCCCAAAATAATACAGCCATTTGGATGTAGCTCCAGGAGTTCGTAAAGCAGTTTTAGGTAAACGGCATTAAAATGCATCATTATTTGTGGGTTATGATTTAAAAGAAAAAAAGTTTTGCATGACCAGAGTAGAATTGAGTTTTTATTACAGCTATTAATCAAAATTTGAACTGATGTTTGTTTAGCATGATTGTAGCATATGCTTCCACCTTCCATCCACATGAAAACAAGCCTTTTTTTCCGACTGTCTGTTCTGTAGGATCCGTCCTCAGCTGCCCAGGGAGAAGATCGAGGGATGTCACATCTGCACATATGTGATGCCTGGAGAGCCACAGGTCATCCTGGGGAAGGACAAAGCCTTCACCTACGACTTTATGTTCGACATGGACTCCCAGCAGGAGGCCATCTATTCCACCTGCACAGAGAAGCTGATCGAGGGCTGCTTCGAGGGTTACAACGCCACCGTGTTTGCATACGGACAGGCAAGCCTTTGTGTTTCCGCCATCACAGCTGCAGTGCTGACGGTGCTTTTAGCCGAGCTGATGAAGGATAGCTGTCTACGTTTGTAATTTGAAAAAAACGCGCAGAGAAGAGGGTGATAGATTTTTTTTTTTTTTTCTCTTCTTTTTTTGACATTTTAAGCTGTAAAACTGTCAGTGTTTATTTTGGTTGTCATGGCAGTATTTTAAATTATTTTCTGAAATTCTGATGAAGAAAAAAATAGAAAAAATTAATTAGGCTGGTTTTAAAACGGTCTTAGTTTAAGTGATGTTTGTTGCTATGGAAACAATCCTGTTAAACCATTGGGGAGTTCAGGCTAAAAGCTTCAGTGTGTAATAATTAGACATTTCCTGATTTAAATGTACTATTTTATATATAAGTATTTTATAATCTACAAACTAAAAGAATAAAACAATCTTTATGTTTATCCTTAGAAGCTGCTGTTTATAGTTACATAGGAGCAGGTCTCTCATCCAATGGCGTAAATATCACAGGTGTCAAGTAACGAAGTACAAATACTTCGTTACTGTACTTAAAGCTACAGTGTGTAATAATGACAGGGATATACAGTCAGAAATGTAATATATTATACATCACTATGTTATTTATCATCATCTACTAGCTCAGCCTCTTAACCTTAATATTTGCGTTGCCTTAGAATTCGTTATTTATAATTACATAGGAGCCGGTCTCGCAGCCATGGAGGCAGACATCTTTGCGCTACGGCAGCGCAGAGCCAACAAACTAGCGATTGCGAGATCGCCCATTACACTCGAAAGTAACTACGGCAAGTTGAGAGAGATGAACTGAGACGGTACTGAACAATAGATGGCAGTATTATGATTGAGAATACTATCTGTAAAATTATCTATGTAAACAAACCTCATCACTTGAGAAGGTTGGTGATGCGGACGTCGTGGAAGACATTTTGTCCCGTAACGCTCGCCGTACTGTTGGGGGGGAGAAGCGGTGGGGGAGAGATGTTCATGTTGCTGCAGTCTGCAGTCTGGACGTAAGATGTCGCTAAAAATTACACACTGTAGCATTAAGTACACTTTTTAGGTATCTATACTTTACTCCATTACTTATTTTTCCTCCTACTTTTGACTTCTACTCATTACATTTTCACACAAGTATCTTTACTTTCTATTACTTACATTTTTAAAACAAACGTAACTCGTTACTCTTGGCTTCGGTTTAAAGCACAGGTCACCGACTAGCGGACTGCGATGTTATGAACAACATTAAATCCAAAGATTTTGTCCGAGGTAAAGCTGATTTATTTGTTGAAGTCTCTTGTTATTCACACACAACAATAAACAGCAATTAGCCGACGTGGGTTTTAAAACTGCAAAGCTTTGTCTTCAGCTGAAAATCAAACGCGCATCTACACAGACCAGTGTGATGCATTCGCGAGCATCAGACAGCTATGGTGCATTCAGGAGCATGGGACATTTCATACTTACAAGGAAAGAGACAAAAACGGAACAGAACTTAACTCATACAATAATGTATTTATTCAGAAACAGTGTGGGCTTTCTTACAATACTGAATGCTCTATAACTGTATTTCTGTTATTTTTTGATTATGCACATCTGCTATCTTTTTAATTCTAAAAAATCTATAATATTACAGCAGCAAATTATCAAAGTTTTTCAAAAGCCTGTTTAAGAGCTCCAAATGAGGCTTCAGATCGTACAGCGACAATTGCGCTGTCATTGTTTTACAGGGCAGAATTAGCATTTGCTGAATCTTGTCTTTTAACTACTGATGGATATACAGGAATATAGTCATACAAGTGTAAACTCCTCTCAGATAGAACAGGATGCAATATTTGGCAATTTTTATTTTTATTTTTTCATCTTTTTTTTTTAATTCAGTGTAACATGAATGCATAAATACGTCATTTTATTTGAGTGTTAAATTCTGTTTAAAGTAACAGATCATTAAAATGTCTCCTGACATTTACTGGTTGATTTTCTTTATTCTGACCCCACTGATTTTTTATTAGTTACCCGTGGTTTAATGTTTCTAAATATATATTTCACGTCATGTGCGCCATCCAATGCAGATCATTGGTGCCATCCACATCTAGTGAAAACTAGTGTGATTGGATGAGTCATAGAACGCAAACACACATTGGTTAGCTAAAGGAAATCATTAGAAGCAAGCAGGTGTTCTTCAAACTGCCAACGTGAATTGTCTATGCCATGCTAAAATGTCGGATTCAGAAAAACATGTCTGAAAGGATGGACACAGGCGAGAGCGTATCGGGAGACAGAGACCAACAAGACCTCCCTCTTCCTTGGACCTATCTCAAAGAATTTTTTGAAATAGACGAAAAATTAAGCTTTTAATTCATATAGTGGCATCTGGCCTTTTTCTTAAAGGTTACTTTATACTTTTATACTTTAAGTAGTTTCTGGAGCACATACTTTTTCACTTTTGCTTGAGTAAAGAGGTCAAGTTGATACTTCAACTTTTACCAGAGTGTTTTTAAACCTCAGTATCTATACTTCTACTTAAGTAACAAATGTGTGTACTTTTGACACCATGACCTCTTAGGGGTCCCATCACTGACACCTGGTGGGCCATCTGTGCAATTGTAGACTAGGACGTCTCTTTGCAGATGTAAGGGTGCAAAAAAAGTCCTCTTAAAACCACCTGATACTGAAGTGACGGACCGCACGGGACCGTATTTATACCGCAACACATGCCAGATTTCAACATGATAAGCATCGATAAGCATCTGCCTGAAATGAGTTTTTGGAACTTGGGATGTCTGCAACATGTTGTGGTGCGCTGTCTCCATTGGTTAAATTCTAGGTGCGTAGTCACTATTTTTCCGTGTGTGATCATATACTACTGAGAATTGCATAATTGTATCTTTTTGGCTGATTTATGAAACTGTCACCCTATCCTGAACCTTTATCACGTATTGTACTTTATATGGGGCCCAGCCAGATTATGTTGCTTACCGGCCTATTGTTGTATCGTTACTAGGACTGGGTATTTTCACCATAGTCCTGAATCGAATTGATTTTGATTCATACAGTTCTATATCGATTAATTTCGATTCGATCTGTTTCTAGAATAATGAAAGTGGTTCAACAGTGTTTCAAAAGACTCATTTATTCTATTTTTTCCTGTCACATTAAACACAAAGTGCAAACTTGTAAATCAGACAGTTTAAACTTGAGATGTGAACAAAACTGTCTCAAAAGTGCAAACTTGTTTGTAAAAAGTGAAAAAGTGAAGCCTCACTCGAGCAAGCAGACGTGACACAGCGGGGACACAGCAGACATGCATCTGCTGCATTATCTTCACTGCATAAACCGTATGTGCAGCGTTGTATGTAACAACTAAAGGGTTTTTTCTGGTCAGCCTCCATTTGTTAATGTCTTCAATCAACCTATTGGCTATATTTCCAGCTGTCTGGCTTGAAGTCATCTTTAAGTGTATCTTTCCTGCTCATTTGAAACTAATCGATCTCATTTCCTAGACATCGATTTTGCAAAAATTTAAAGGAATCGATTTTTTTACCCAGTCCTAGTCGTTACGCCATTGCTCTCATCTATGGAGGCAGACATCTTTGCAGCTGATAAACTAGTGATTGTAGAAATCAACATTATGCTCCAATGTGACTGGAGCAAGTGTAGAGCGTTGAATGCAGACAGTAGTGAACAAAAGACGGCAGAAACATGCAGAAGAAGGTTTTAGGCTGCCTGAAATGGAAGCAGTAGTAGTAATCAATGAAGAAATATATAAACATGGAACATCAATGACTACACAGCAGCAGAAGACAACAGATTTGAGTGAAATGTGTTTGTCACCATGCAGCTATACGTCAGACAATTGCAGGATAATGCCTAAACTGCAGAGAGCGGCGCACACTGAACCACCGTTATCTAAGTAATAGGAAAGCAATAAATGCAGGTTGGACAGGGACAGGCTAAAACGCAGCCCACAACAAAAAGAAATAAACCAATCCTAATTCTGCTTTTAATAGTACACACACACTCCATCCAGCTGCAGATTTGATCCCCAGTGCCAGAGCGCAGCAGCGTTTTATCCCCTTAAACTTGAAACAGAAAGAAAGAAGTGATTAAAACTAGAGACTGTTGGGAGCTGGAGAAGTTCCACCTTTCTCCAGCAGAGTCCGCCGTGGATCCTCTGAGGGAGCCTCCTGCACAGCTGCAGCTCGTCTAGATCATCAGAGGATCCACTACTTAAGCTGTCTTCAGACCTTGCCTCAACGCCGCAGTGTTGTTCCAGTTGGTCAGCGCTTAAGCCTAGATCCTCAGAGTAAATCTATGACTTTCGAATCCAGCTTGGATTCTAACCCCTGTGTCTGTTTTCCAGGAAACCTGTGCCTCCTCTGTGAAAGCTCTGGAAGAGCTAACCTGCCGAGCCGACCCTCTGAGCCAAACCTGAAGATTCACAGAGAACCTCCAAGCAGCTCTGGACTTGAGCTGGGTAACCCAAAGCCAAGGTCTGTTCTAAGTAGACGTGAGACGCTGAAGCAGCTACGGACTCTGCTGATGAACTCTTCTCCAGAACCAACAGTGACTCTCCCAAAGCTAACCTCAAGTACCCTCAAGGTACAATCAGTAGACTTCTGGAAATCAAACCTCTGTTGGCAACGCTAACTGAACTGTCTCTCACGCAGACTCCGGTGAACCAGAATCCAGGCCCCGAACCTGAACCAGAATATTCAGTGTGCTTGTGCAAAATAAAACTGTTAAACTTTCATCCTTGTGTCCGTCAGTGGTGTTCTGCATTCTTGGGTCGCTTTCAGTGAACCCATCATGACAGAACACTGCGGCCAAACTCAAGGCCCAGCAGATCACTACATCCGTCGTCTAGAGGAACAGGCTGCTCAAATTCATGGACACGGCCTGGCTCTACGTGAGTTAAACACCCACATTGAAAGACAGAATCAAGCCATTCAAGGCTATGCTAACTACGTGAACAGCGCTAA